GAAGGTGACCTCAGCAAGAGGTCATGTTAGGATGTTGCCCCCACATATTGCACATTTAATGGCCGGTGTTGCTGTTTGTCTTCAGTTTTTCAAGTAAGATGGAAACTGATGTTGACTCACTGCATCATTTGAAATGTTTAGCTACCATTAGCATAATACAGTGAGGCATCCAGTATTTAATGTGCCAGAAAAAAAAAGACTTGGTACATCCCAGTATTTGAAATGCAGCATGCCAAAATACCAGGAATTTCTTCTGTATCAGTTGCATTTTGCAGCCAGAACCCACACTTTTCTACACAGGATTGTGATAAATGTACTGTTTATTTATAGTTAACCTATTAAAGAGTTCTTCACATTCTTCACGAGGGAGCTCTTGGGAACCAAAGCAAACTATAAGATTTAGCATAAATATTACTATAGTATTGGTCCATTGTAAGAAGGAAAACACATGGATCTTTTAGTATACAAGATACCTTTGAACATGCACCTACACAAAGGGTGGGATATTGTTTTAATTTATGGTTAAAAGTAAAAGAAAAAAATGGTTAATTAGCAATAAAATTTTAAGATTAACTTCTTTTTTTCTGGTTCAAAGTGTTACATTTAAATCTGCTTTAGATATTCCCAGTACCTTCTACAGAGCATAGGTGTTCAATTAGACTGTTGCATTGTTCAAATTTTTGCTGTAAGAACCAATAATCTCATGATTTTTAATTAATCAAAATTTGTTTTAAACTACATCACAGCTATCAGGGAGATCAATCCCCCCGATCAAAGAGGCTGAAAACCTATCGCTGTATTTAACAGTATCAATGGTTGTCATGGTCTGCAGTGGGTGGCTGGAATTTCCATAAGGCTCCTGAACCTCCTGCTCCTAACTAACTAACTCCTGCACACCTGGAGCCAATTGCAGGCAATCAAGCCAGAGGGATTTAAGCCACACATTGATGTTCATTCACTGCCAGTTCGTCATCAACACATGTTGGTAACAGGCCTTATACTTCAATTTCTTGCTGTGATTTATCTTGTTAACCAGACTCTCTTGTGCTGCAGTTGCTGTTTTCACCTTGGCTCACGCTTCACTTCCAGACTCAGGATACCAAACAATCATTTTGAAAATCCCTCTGTGCCTCACCTGCCTGCCCTCCTGCCATCACACTCCATCTGAAGCCCCGGATCTCAGGTCAGCCTTTCTACGCCACTCAGCCCTCCCTGGATTCTCTTACCCCCCTCTCAACACTCCATGTCACCTACTGCAATGTGACTGTTCCCTGCTCAGCTCCACTCTACATCCCGTTCCCTCGCCCTAGCCACGTTTCCCAGGCCACGCCACGTCAAACTCCACGTCTTATTGTTTTTTGTCTTTGCTACGTTTTTTGCACTACGCCTAATAAATTGTCACATCATCTGCTGTCTCAGCTCTGGGTTTCTGCACCTGAGTTCTGCTCAGTACAGGCCACTCGGCCTCGTGACAATGGTCTGATCCAAGTTATCACTCTGTAACTTATTGTTATTAAAAATCTGTTATTCATTATGTGAAGTCAGAGACACAATGTTGTCAATGAAGGATGCCTTTAAAAATCTTTAACACTATTAAAGCTGATAATGTGACATTTAAATTAATATATAGTATTTCATACTAATAGCTTTGCTGCAATGCACATTACTCTACACACTGGTCTTTTACAGTACGTTTTTTGCGTAATTTTTATCTACTTATAGTTAATCTGTTGGTGATGCATTTCCATGTTATTGTAACCCGTCTGCTGATTAATCCAGACTTTAGTAATGTTGCTTAGTGCCAAAAATAATAACAAATGCCCCCAGTGTTTATTCCACATAATGTTGCACATGCTGCATATAGCTGTAAGGTGAGGTAAACTGAGTATTGAGTAGTAATGTAAAAGGTTAACTGTACTTACTGCAGCCTATTTTTATTGTTACTCATATTCAGTATTACAATGGGTGTAAAATTAGAGGGTGACT